AGATATACCTGATAACAGAGGGCAGAAGGCTACACAAAAAATAATCTTGACTTAATAAATTATTAATATCAAAAATGTATTTCTGTTTTTTCTTTTTACATATTTTGTTAAAAGGCCAAATACGGACTTCAAACAAAAAAAAGTAATTTTCTGTTTTGTTTTATTCTTGGATCGGGCTTTAAAGGGTTAAAGAAGATTTTTTTTTTTACGAAAGTAAAGCAGGTAAAACTAAAACTTTTCCACTTGAGGAGTTCTGGATAGAAAAAATTTCTATTTCTTTTTATCTTAAATGGTATAATTGGTATAATTACTGTTCTAAGTGGGTTGCTCTGTCAGCTAAAGGCATATTTTATATTCTCTATACTCTAGTAAACATATAATCGATTACTAAAATAGTTGACTATTTTTTCAATAATCGATTAATCACGATTATTATATTATTAATCATGATTAATTGTTTGAGCCCTAGTTCATGCAACAATTGCTTTTTATGGGTAACTATTACATTAAGCCAGATTCCTACAGTATGCAACTATTAGTTCCACAGATTCCTCTACCAGAGTGAACCTGGATGTCTTGACTGCTTTCTCAACCAAAGCTATCATTGTCTGGCCTGTCAGTTTAGATCAGTAGTCTCAAACTCCAGTCCTTGAGGGCGTATGTCCTTCTGCTCTGAAATGCATCTCTGCTTCAACACATCTGACTCCAATATAAGCTGATTAACAGAGCTCTGCAGTGCTTGACTACATGCTACTGAGAAAATTAAGCCATTTGATGCAGGTGTGTACAGCGAGGGACATATCTAACAGTTCCAGGACAATGGCCATCGATTATTTGAGTTTGACACCAGTGGTTTAAATCAATAGCCCCACCCTAGTAGGTTTGCAGTAAGACTATCTTTAATTTTAAATATGGATCTAACAGTGCTTCATGAGATGTTCAAAGCTCAGGATATTGCTTTGGAACTTAATACAGCTTTTAATATCTTCACAACTTCATCCCTGACCTGTATGGTATGTATGGCTTTAGTATAAAAGAAACATTTTGTTCACTAATGTTCTTGTAAGATTCTAGTAATAAAGTTTATTCTGTGATTCTCATTGTAATGCCTTTGGAAGACAGAAAGGCATAGAAAAAAAGGAAACAGGGCCAAAGAAGCACTGCAGCTTAAATGTGTCATGTATACCAAACATATTCACCAATATTACAGAATCAACGCAACTGAGACTAAAATGCTAAAACAATTATCCAATAATAAAGTCTGTTAATCTCACCATACACTATGCAGGTACTCCACCCGGATGTAGAATGATTAAAACTAATGCCATGAACTACTGCCTGATTTATTCAGCTATTAATTATCTGACCACTTGCAGGCACATGGAAAGCATATCAACGTCATTCCAAGAAAGTCTGGTGACCTTTTTTTATGAAAACGTAAATACGTAAAACAAGACAATGAAACAATGGAACATCTTCTCTCCGTTTTTCATTTTTAAAACTTATTAAAATTATGTGCCACAGGGATTTAATAGCAGCTCCACAATGAAAAACATCCCCATGTCCTCAAAATCTCAACTTCCAAACCCTAAAGGCAGTTCTGCTGCAAACCGCCTCCATAATTTCATGAAAGGCAACACCTGTCACATCCGTGGAGCACTGTCGAGCTCTGCTCCTAGTTCTTTGAAGCCCCAAGAGAGCAGACACAGGAGGTTAGGCTGGAGCAAAGCAGGCTGGAGCGCATCAGAAAATGATTCTATATTCTAATAGTGAAGGATGGAGAGCAGGTTTACGGACAGTGATGTTGGAGTTGTCTCTTAGTGGAACTGTTCTAATTATTTAACATAACAGAGTTGATGAGCATACATGAGCGGAGTGAAGCGAACATGGAGGATGTGAGATCCTGGAGGCAATGCGAACAGACTCTGGCCTCTCTTGCTCTCTGTCCCAAATTAAAGCCATTATCATAACTGCTGAAATTCACACAGGCTATGCAGCGCTGGGAGCCTACTCTGTTTCCCCTTAGAGATAGAGACTGACTTCACTGATGACAACGCAAAATATTTTTTGTTTTTTTGAGGTTTTTGCAGCACTAGTGGTTACAGAGTAGTCTGACAGGAAAGGGGGTATGAAAGAGACATGTGGCAAAGAACCACAGGCGGACTTGAACCCGGGTCAATCTCGTCGAGACCAAGGCCTCTGTAATTGGGCCGTGCAGGATAACCACTGCGCCACCAAAGCATGGCAAAAGGATATATTGCTAAAGATCCTAATGAGACAGACAGTAGGTCAGACAGAATGGAGAAGTAAAGCACATCTAGTGCATTTCATAATAAAACACACTTAATGGCATTGCAATTTCAACAAATTTTATATTCAGTGAGACAAGGTCACAAATAAGTCAGTCAGAGGTCTTGGTAGTTATTTGACCCCAAGAATGACAAGATTTTTTTTATTCTGAAAATGGAAAATCACAACATTTTGATAAGGATAACAACAGAAAGGAGAAGAAATGCAGCAAAATAAGGGAAATTTGTCCTAATTATCACTATATATAGTGAGTGTAGCCTGTTTGTGAGTCCAACTGCCTCAGGTGATGTTAGATACATCAACAAATCCGAAAATGCATCCACTGTCAGCATGGCACAATATCCTACAGATGACGAAGCAGGTAACATGTTTTTAAAAAAAACCACCAGCATACCAGAGAGATAGGAACTAGTAGGGAAGCATTTAAACCAACCTATGAGGACTTTATTGACAAGCTCTTTTTATATATAGGTAGATTATTTGCTAATTAGGTCAATCTAATCATACTAGGGAGGGGCTAGTTGCAAATTCACACTTTTTAGATATTTCTTTTTAAAGATTTTCAAGAAATCTTTTATTTTTCATTAAACTTCCAACCCTGTCTTGGTAGAAGTAAGAAATTTAAAATAATGCTTGAAGATTCACCAATTTCTATGAAACTAGTAAAAAAAAACAACTAAAACTTCCTAAAGAGTTGTTAAATTGTTGAGTTCTCCAGAAATCTGAGATTCATTTAAAAACTCATCTAACCTCAATTCTTAGCTGCTTCTAAATCTAGTAAAGAAGCCTTTTCAGAAAGGTGGATAAAACTACCTTGAACAAAATCAATATGATGATGAAGCAAATACAATAAACAGAACAATGAATCTGAAAAATAGAATCAAATATGACTTACGCAATGTACTGTTCAGTCTTGTTGAATTTCTTGGCAAGGTACTTTGCGGATGCCTTGCTGGGTATCTTCACAAAGGACAGCTCTTTGCCATATCGAGTCAAGTTGCATGGAGTCTCGCACACGCAGTAATCATTATCCCTCTCAACAAGAAAGTCTAGAAAATTAAGGAGACAGATGGAGGGAGAAGAGGAAGTGAGGTAAAAAAAGACAGAGATCCGAAGAGAGAGGAGAGGGACAGATTAATTTATCCTCATCCTGGCATGACAATCAAAATGCCAACTGAGTGCGACTCATCAAGAAAGAGACGACCTCAGAGACATTGAAATATAGAAGACAGGCGTTAGATGCATGCTGACAGAGCGAGAGGGACAGCTGCAACTAGAGGGCAACATGCAAAGTGTGCCACGGAGGAGTAAGAGACTGCAAGTCAGGAAGAAAAAAAGCAGCGAACACGAAAGGCTTGAGAGGTTTTAGCTTGTGGCGAGGCAAAAAAGGAAAGCCTCAGTGGTACCATCATGTTGAAGGAACGCTATTATCTGTTATCAGATTGGATCAAGAGCTCTGAACAGTGGGATACATATACACTATCAGTTTTCACACATCATGCTGGTTTATTTTCTTACCCAAGGCAGGGTCTGCACATTCCTTGTACTGCTCCGGGGTGCAGTATGGGGCATCTCCTAAGGACAGGCAGAAACAAAACAAAAAAAACAAAAAACACAAAAACAAAACAGAATCAGTTTGAAGGAAAGCAGAGAAGACAACAAAGATCTGGGCTCAACTTTTGTTACTCTTCTTTCACGAGTATTGTCATAGAACTTCAATTCAATCTAGTTTATTTATGTAGCGCCAATTCACAACACGTCATCTAAAGGCACTTTACAGTTCAACCAGATCATCCAGTCAAATTGATTTCAAAGGAAAACCAGCTGATTGCATTGACTCATTGACTCAAATACAATCCCTCACACTAAGCATGCTTGTAGCGACAGTGGAGAGGAAAAACTCCCTTTTAACAGGAAGAAACCTCCAGCCTCAGTGTGAGCGGCCATCTGCCGAGGCTGACTGGGGTTGAAGGAGACAGAAATAGAGATACAAAAAGCAGCTGCAAAAGGCAGCCCCATCCAGGAAACACACAGCCAGGCAGACAAGCTACGAGCCAGC